TGAGGAGGTCCGCTCTAATGAGCGCGAGGCCGATGGCAGTGATGCTATGGTATGAGTAACTTATTTATCTATCTGCCGCGACAGGCTCATGCGGACGGCGCTGCACTGGGCGCCGGAGATGGGGCACCACGACACCGGTGCGACGGGGGTGTCGGCCGGCGTGGCGGGGCGGCTGCCTGAGGGAGTGTTGATTGGCAAGAGCGCGGGGGCTGCAGCAGAAGGCTGGAGTCGGCCTGGTGCCGGTAATCGTACCGCAGTCTGTGGCCCATCGACGGGTTACACATACATGGGCGGGCTGTGCACGGCGTACGTGACGGCGCTGGTCAACCAGGGGGACCACAATGACATCACGCCCGCTTGTGTTTCTGGCCATCCCGCGGTGAGCTCTCGCGCGCCCACGGGCCCACTGCGGGATGCCGGCGCCTTGCATGTGCTGCCTGCGCGCAACCGGACATAGAGCACGCGCCGCGCACGGCGCTGATGTCTTTACAAAACCCGTATTCCAACCCAACATCAACCAATGCGTGCGGCTCGTACAATCTGTGCGCAGGGGGGAGGAGGGGCGTGACGCGTTTGAGTTTCTGATGCAGCACGGGGCGCGGTACAACGAGCCGGTGACCGAAGAAGACGCGGCGGGAGAGGTCGGCGGCAGCAGGAGCGGCGGCAAAAAGGGTAGGGGCCGGACACTGGCGGCGAGGTCGTTTGGGAGCGAACAGGGGGCGCGGCATTCAGCGGGTTGCGTCGGCCGTGTTGCGTCGGCCTTGTTGCGTCGGCCTTGCGGTGCGCTTATATACTTGTACGGTGTGCGGTCTTTCGTGCAGGGGCGAGCAGCCACAGGGCGCTGTCGCAACTTTTGTCGTGGTGCTCAGCAGCACATGATAGACCTTCTCCATGACTTTTTCTGCTGTTTCGTTTGTCAAAAGCCAACGCTTGTGGTCCACTTTGTATGTTGAAAAAGGCGTAGCGCTGCTGGTAAAAAAGATGATTTGCTGCAAAGTTTCCATGCGTTGAAGCCCGCCTTGTAGCGCGCCGCTGTCCCTGCGTATCCCTCCCAACGCCCCTCCTGGCGCTGCCCAGGACCTGGCGAATGCCGGCAGACCCGCGATGAGCCAGTGAGGGTGTGTCTTTTGCCATCAATGCGTCAAGGATGGGGATTGATCCGAGCATGCGTTGATAGCGCCTTTTGCGGACCACCCAGACTGGCGTCACCATCATGGTCACCCATGTTCATTGACCGTCAATCAACAGTGTCTCCGTCGGAGCGCTGTGCATGCTTTGTAAACGTACATCTAAGTGCAACATCAACGAATGCGCTGCATTGCCTGTGCGAACTACGGTATCATAGTCTGCATCGTCTGTTCTGTCAGCGCGCCGACGCGCACTCGTGTTTCAACATCCAAAAAATCATCGTATTCAAGTCAAACAAGCGGTGATCACCGCTGTTTGTGAAGGTCATTGCCACCTCCCAGCGCAGCAGCCGCACTGCCGCCCGCAGCCCCGGCCGCCGCTCCCAGCCTCCTGCCCCGCGCCCAGCGGACCGCCGCGCCGGCAGCCGGCGCCGGCGCGGCAGCAGCAGCAGCATCAGCACAGCGCCGCCATGGTGCTGTACCTGATCGGCCTGGGGCTGTATGATGAGAGGGACATCACGCTGCGCGGCCTCGACGCGGTGCGCGGCTGCGCGCGCATCTACCTCGAAGCCTACACCTCCATCCTGCTCTGCGACAAATTGAGGCTCGAGGCCCTGTACGGCAAGCCCGTGGTGGTGGCAGACAGGGAGATGGTCGAGAACGACGCAGATCTGATCTTGGAGGGAGCAGATCAGATCGACGTTGCTTTCCTCGTCGTGGGCGATCCGTTCGGCGCCACGACGCACACCGACCTGCAACTGCGCGCGCGGGAGAGGGGGATACCCGTCAGGGTCATCCACAACGCGAGCGTGATGAACGCAGTGGGGGCGTGCGGGCTGCAGCTGTACAAGTTTGGGGAGTCGGTGTCGATAGTTTTCTTTACAGACACCTGGCGGCCAGGTGAGGGGCTGCGGCGAGGCGCTCCAGAAATGTACACATGCGCGCGTCATGGTTAGACGATCGGGGATCTGGTCGCGGGGCCTGAACAAGTGCAGGCCAGCCGGCGTGCGTGCGTTGCGCCGGCGGCAGCGGCAGTGGCGGCGGCGCGGTCACCTGGCATGAGCATGCACAGCACGGGGCCCTGCGCCCAACCGCAGGCGCGGCTGCCCCGGCAGCCAGCATCTGAAGCGTTACGCGGTTTGACGCCACCCGTCTTTCATCAACCGACTCGCCACCGCTGATTCCGCCTGTTCGGCTTCCAGACAGCTTCTACGACAAGATCGCCGCTAACCGCAAGCTGGGCCTGCACACTCTGTGCCTGCTCGACATCAAGGTGGGTGTGGGGTGAGCCCTGCCAAGAACCTGGTATCCTCCAGGCAGCAGCTCAAGGCACAGGCCTAGGGCAGGATTCTGCAAGGGCGGTACATTTTTTGCCGGCCGCCCACACCATGTGCACACCTTGCTTGACAGCAAAGCAGCAGTGCAGCTACTGTCGGGTCACTGAGCCCGCCACGCTCCGTCCGCCACCCACCGCCCCGGCCGCGCCTTGCCGCGCCTGCTGCGACAGCAGCCGCTGACCCCCACCGTGAACCAAAAATCCCCCCTGAACTCCAGGTGAAGGAACCGAACTTGGAAGCGCTCTGCCGCGGCAAGACGATCTACGAGCCACCCAGGTGCGTGCCGCCAGCAGCCCCCCACCCGCCCCTGCAGCTGGTTGGCCTCGCGTGCAGCTTGCCAGGCCCACACTACCCGCCCCTGGCTCCACCTCAGCACCTGGCGGAGTCAAACGCCTCGAGCCAAGCGTTGACCCGCGTCTAGCGGACGCGGGACCTTCATGCTGCACACTACGTCGAAAGCCCTCTCGCGCGGTGCGTCACATCGCTTTGACCATCGACCAGCTCGCTTCCGGCCACGTTGCTTGAACCCCCGGACAAACAACACAGGTACATGAGCATCAAAACCGCCCTGGAGCAGCTGCTCGAGATCGAGGAGAAGCGGCGGGAGGGCGCGTACGACGCGGGCACCCTGGCCGTCGGCATGGCGCGCGTCGGGGCGCCTGACCAGCGCGTGGTGGCGGGCGGCATGCGGGAGCTGATGGAGGTCGACTTTGGGGCGCCCCTGCACTGCCTTATCATAGCAGGGAACGTGCATGTGGTGGAAGAGGAGATTTTGGGATACTACAGGATCGGCCAGGCGGGGGCGGCGGCGGGCGCGGAGGGCGCGGCGGCGGCGGCGGGCGGCGGCGGGGCCAGCACGGCGGAGGCGCTGGCGGTCGGCGGCGGGGAGGGGTCGAGCTAGTCTGGCTTGCATGCTTGCCCATGCGTGCGGGGTTGCGGGGTTGCTGCATGTGTGTGGATGTTTGCCAACGTGTGTACCGTGAGTGTGTGAGTGTTTCGCCCTCTTGCAGGTGTTCGTTGTGTTTGGAAAGCGTGAATTTTTTGCAGAGCACTCCATGTGCGTTGTTTGGTGCCCTAGCAGGACACCCACAAGTTCAAGCACCGCAGCCCGGCACCATCAACCTCCAGCCTGAGCTACATGGCTTGATCTTGATGATGTGTGTGTAACGTGTAACGTGCACAAGTTGGCCAGTAAATGTGCAGGCCGTCCAAAAATCCAACCAGCAGGAGGCATACGGTTACAGCGACACGACATCGGCTCAATCAAGCACGAAGGGTCAACCCCGCTGCGACGCAGCCCCAGCCCCGCC